TCGAGTTGTGGTCTTCTCGCATTGCGATGGTAAGGTAAGGCTGCCACTAACACTCTTCCTCAGACTCCACACAGAGCGGGAGTTCTCTGCACCGGGGACGTACTTTAAATATCTGAAAGTTGCAGTCCTCGAGATCCCAATACGATCTTGTAGAGTACGTTACAGAGACTTATAGGACGAAGATCGGTAACTCTTTCCGGCATCTGAACTTTTGGGATGAGTGCAATAAACGTTTCATTCCACTTCTCCGGCATAGGTCCACCACGCAGGAAGGCCAGCACCTCTGAAGTTATCTGTCCTCCTACTAACTCCCAAAATTTCTTGTAAAACACCGCAGGCATGCCGTCAGGCCCCGGTGCTTTCAGATCACCAATATTATCCAGTGCAATTTTAATCTCATCAGAGGTGGATTCAGCTAACAACTTCGCATTCATCTCCTCAGTGACACAGGGTTGGACGGCGTGTAACAATTGCTGCACATCACCCTGTGCACTGGACCTGAAAAGTTGCAGAAAGTAGTTAGTGATAAACACCTGCTTCTCTACTTCATCTTCCACCCAACCCCCAGCACCATTATCAAGTTTCCCTAATCTATTCCTGCGCTTCCTCTCCGTACAGGCTGCATGAAAAAAATTTGTATTTCACCTACACGACATTTTTACATAAGTGCAATAAAAACTAGCACGGGAAATAGCCTTAAAAATCCAACAATTCACGATGAAGCTTTTTTTTTTGAAAAATTGAATATAAGCTTGTCCAGAAAACAGTAAGTATTTGTAAGTAACCGGAATGTGGTACCCAAAGCGGCAATGCGCACGGACGCTATGGACGTGATTAGTTGGACGTATGTTCATGCACAGAATCTTTTATAAATCGGTAATTAGGAAGCAGTCGTTCGTCCGCTCCGGACGCTCCATCGATGGGCCACGATGCTGGCCTAACACTCTCTTCCTATCTGCATAGGAGTTTCTAAAAAAAAAATCAGTCCTCCCTGCCTCGCCGCCCTGTTCCCCAATGACGAAGTCGCACCCCGCACGCATCTCGCAGTGCCGCCGCGCGCCCCCACCGCCTCCTCGCTGCACCAACCCAGCATCGCGCCGACCTCCCTGCCCACCTGCCGTGCCACCACGCTTACTCCCCCGCGCCTCGGACCGTCGGATAGTCGGCTCCTTGAACTCGGGGTGGGAGCCGAGAACCGCCGGCTGCCCTTCTTCCGAGATTAATCTGTCGCTTCCTTGAACTTGATGTGGGCGCCATCTTCTCCGCTCCTCATCCCGGGCCGCTGCCTTCGGTGAACACACGCCGACGTGCCTCCATTCTCCCAAGCAACAAGGAGATGTTGCGTTGAAAGCGCATGTTGCAAACGTATGTTTCAAGTGTTTCAAATGTTTCAGAGGTATGTTGCAAGTGTTCATATGGATATTGCAAAAGTGGATCGCATATGTTGTAATGGTTGTACACGTATGTTGCAAGCTTCTGTTTCCAATGTTTCATCTGTTTTTTCCAGACGTATATTGTAAGTGTGTTTATTTGGATGTTTCATATATTTGACACACATGTTACAAGTGTAATGTTGCGTATGTTTTACAATATTTTTTCAAGTGTTTTCCATGTGCTTTTGCAAGTGTTTCAGATGCACGTTTCAAATGTTTCATTTGCCTTTAGACGTATGTTGCAGATGTTGCATCTTGATGTTTCAAAAAGTTGATCGGGTGTTGCATCTCTATCCTCGTATTTTGCTGCCTTGCCTCGGTGTCTCCTCCTCCTCCATCGTCGTCGCGGCTAGCATCCGCCGTCCTCTTCCCCTCTCTCAATGCTGGTGACGTTTGGGGGCAACACGAGCCCGTGTGGGCGCGTGAAACAGTGCAAAAACGACGTGGGAAACGGCTATAGGCGCGGGCGTCCGGACGCCCCGTCCGTCCAGACGTTCGAGCGCTAGCCAGCCCGTGTATAAATACTTGTGTTTGGATGGTTGTATGCTTCTTGAAGCCGGCCCAAACTCATGCAAAAGGAGCCTTCGGCCAGGCTCTAGAGGAACGCGGATTCCATCGGTTCCTGCCGAGCTAGGCTACGCAGACGCCGTGGTCCATGTGACCGCATCACCTCCCTATGCTCTGCTCCCTTCATTCACAGTTCTTGCTTAGCAGGTGGTATTGTTACCACATGAGCATATATATACTGCTCTATCCATTTCAAATTATAAATCGCTTTGACTTTTTTAATATATCTATTTTGCTATATATTTAAATATAATATATGTCTATATGGATAACAAAATTGATGTAAAAAAATCAAAACGACTTATAATTTGGAATTGAGCGAGTATCAACTATTTTGTGCAGTCGTCCAATCAATCTCGAAAGAACCTGGTCAGCTTGTGACACCCACGAAACATAACGATGCTTTCACATATTGCATTCGCAGAACCTGGGTGTGCTCAGCCTGGCCGATCCACGCAACCAGGTCAGACCCTATGCACTAAACCAATCACGCCCTATATATACCAGCGCCATATTTTTACACATGCTGCTTTTTTTTTTAGGGGATACACATGGTGCTGATGGTGGGACGCATTGGGAGCCCAATTTTTTATAATTTGATTCTTTTTTAAAGAAAATTTACGTTTGGCTTCCTGGGAGACGTAAACTCATCTTTGGACCTGTGGATCGGTGTCAGGACTCATGGCTCTGAGATAACACGTCTCGGCGCCACAGATCTTGACTCCGAGATGCCTAACCGTGCACAGCAGGGTATCCTAGTGTGCCGTTGACGTGGCCGGTACCTCAGAGCCACAGATCTTAGCTCCGAGCTCCGCGCCAAAATCTATGGCTCCGACCTCGGAGCCGTGGATCTTGCTCCGAGCTCGGAGCCATGGATCCTGAGGCCGAGCATCGATTCAAAACCAGTCAAAAGGCACACGCACACCATGACACCAGTCCACTCCTGCTGGTAGCTAGCTAGATATATAGTAGATGCATGGACGTATTGGCAGGCCACTTCGTTCCGCACATAGGCACGGAATATACAGGCATGCTTGCGCAAGCCGAGCTAGACACCTATTCAAAAATGGAGCAGCCATTTGGAAGCCATCAATCATATGCCACATAGGTGCCTGAGTGCCTGTTGCGGCACGGGGCAACATGGCTGCCCACTTCCGCGCGGCAGCTGGGGCCAATTGGATACGGCTACACCGGCTGACGAACGATCGTGGCCAATAAAGGATCGAGCCTGCTGAGACCTGTGCGTGGCTGTGTGCTCGTCGTCCGTCGGGGTAGAGGCCTAGAGGGTGCCGGCCATGTCGTCGGCTCGTGTCGTCGTCGTCTGCGGGCCTGCGACCCTGCGCATCCATGCAGCCCCGCGATCTCCCATTTGTGTCGTGTACATGCATGATGCATGCGCAGTCACAGAAGCACCAACAACGGCGAAGTACGTGGCTGGCTATTCTATTCAGTATATTCACCTGCTGTAAAAAAAAACTATATTGGCGCTTTCTACGGTGAGGCGGTCGTGGAATCGTCAGTTTTTGGACCGTTTGATCATGCTGTAGTACTACCTTGACGCATGCGGCGCGCGGCAGCGAACCTGGAACCTCCAACCAGAGCGGACGCCACTCTACGGTGGCAAAACCGATGGCCACGAGCAGACGACGTTCGGATCGGATCATCAGGGCGCGGCCAGGTCCAACCACGGCCATCTATCCCACTGCAAATCGAGGCGGGACAGGACTCGGCCGGGAGCCTATGGCCCATCCACTGATTTGTTTGTTCCCATCCATCTGGTAACTTTATTTGTCGCGCACCGCCGTCCACACACCGGCCTTAGGGGCGACAGTGCGCGAAGCGACAAGGCCGGGTGTAGGAATCGAAGGAGCGCACACACACTTTGTGACACTGACACCGCACACTGCTGGGTGCTGGGCAGTAGTGCCGCTAACTTACAACAACCTGCAAGACGCACAACGATCGCCCCTGGCGCATCAGCGCACATATATACGATCCAAAATGCGTGATTACCGCATACTCGCACAATCGGCCTTGTGTCTTGATCTTCATTATTTGTGCTAGCTATAGTAGGCTACGTAGCTATAGCTCGTTAATGTATGCTGTGTGATTAGCTATGTGGCATATGATTGATGGCTTCCAAATAGCTGCTCCATTTTTGAATAGCTGTCTAGCTCGGCTTGCGCAAGCATGCCGGTATATTCCGTGCCTATGTGCGGAACGAAGTGGCCTGCCAATACGTCCATGCATCTACTATATATCTAGCTAGCTACCAGCAGGAGTGGACTGGTGTTATGGTGTGCGTGTGCCTTTTGACCGGTTTTGAATCGATGCTCGGTGTCAGGATTCATAGCTCTGAGCGGCTCCGAGGTCGGAGCCACAGATCTTGACATCGAGCTCGGAGCTAAGATCTGTGGCTCCGAGGTATCGGCCACGTCAACGCCACCTAGGATGCCCTCTTGCACACGGCTAGGCACCTCGGAGTCAAGATATGTGGCGCCGAGACGTGTTACCTCGGAGCCATGAGTCATAACGCCGATCCCCAGGGTTCAAAGATGAGTTTACGTCTTTCAGGGGGGTCAAATGTAAATTTTCTTCAAAAAATGATTAAATTGTAAAAAATTGGGCATTGGGGGCAACTGAAGAACCTGAAGGCCCAGATAGTGCAGCCCATCCCGCCATCCGGCACGCAAGACACAGAGCGACAATGAGCCCACGCAGAGCAGCCGCACCAGGCGCCCTAATGCGCGCATGTTTGGGCTACAGTGGGCTTGATCCCGTAGAAGCAGTTGCGTTGCTCGGACGGTTGTCTGACCATTCCATTTCCTCCATCTCACCACCTCTCCCTCTCCTGTCTCCTGTATATAAACACAAGCGAACGGCGGCACCTGACGCCCACAAACAGACTGCAGCTCACTTGTGTAAGCTGCCTGTGTGGCGGCCGAGATACTCCAGCACCGGCGAGTGGGAACCCGGGTAGTAGGTGGAGTCGTGGAGACGATGATAGGGTGGGGCGACGTGTACAAGGTGGTGGCGGCCATGGCGCCGCTCTACTTCGCGCTGGGGCTCGGCTACGGCTCGGTGCGGTGGTGGAAGCTGTTCACGCCGGACCAGTGCGACGCCATAAACCGCCTCGTGACCTACTTCGCCGTGCCCTTCTTCGCCTTCGACTTCGCCGCGCGCATCGACCCCTTCGCGCTCAGCTACCGGGTCCTGGCCGCTGACGCGCTTTCCAAGCTCGCCGTGGCGCTCGCTCTCGCTGCCTGGGCCACCGCAGCCGCAGCCGCAGCCGCGCGCCGTGGCGGCGGCGGCGGCAAGGGCAAGGACAGGGCCTTGTCGTGGTGCATCACGGGGTTCTCGCTTGCCACGCTCAACAACACGCTCGTCGTGGGCGTGCCGCTCCTGGACGCCATGTACGGCAAGTGGGCGCGCGATCTCATCGTGCAGCTCTCCGTGGTGCAGTTCATTGTCTACTTCCCGGCTTTGCTGCTCGCGTTCGAGGCCAGGCGAGCCGCCCGGGGCGCCGGCAAGCTGGACGTTGCGGAGGAAGCTGCAGGTGGCGTTGACGAAAGCGGCGGCGGCGTGGGTGGCGAGACGGCGGTTCAGTCGTCGTTCTGGCCGCTGGTCGGAGCGGTCTGGACGAAGGTGGCGAGGAACCCAAACATCTACGCTGGCATTCTTGGCGTCTCGTGGGCTTGCGTCACCAACAGGTTCGCGTCATTTACGCAGGCACGCCTTTCCATGCACCATTTGCGTTTTGATGTAAACGTGCATGAGATTGCTCACTGCTCTAAAAGAACTTCCTGCCATTTCCATTGAAATCTAGACTCCCCGAGTTCTTTTGTGGTGGATGTCGAAGACACTTTTTTTTTTTATAAATTTGTAGGAACAAAATCGACTTAAAATTTGTAGAGATCTATTGGACGACTAGCTTTACTTTCTTGTGCAACTCGGGAAGATCTCATATCGCAACTCACTGTAGCACAGTTCCCGCACAGTGCATTAGCTTGTACTAGCTTAATTCTATAGGTGTATTTTTTTAATGTGTCTAGCTAAAGTTTAACCAAATATATAGTAAAAATATTAATGTTTATGGCATCAAATAAGTATGGTATAAAAATATATCTCATGACAAATCTAATGATACTTATTTGATATTTTAAATATTGATATTTTTTATTTATAGTTAATCAAACTCGAGATACTTTAATTTGATATTGTGCTAGAGTTGTATTCTTTTATGAACGGATGAAGTAGATAACTATATACCTAAATGCAGTAGAGTTTGCATGGGTGAATAAAAGGTCATAAATTAGCTACTCCACTCCAAACATGGTTGAATTTGACCCAAAAAAACAGCGAATGATATTCGCTGTGTAGTGTAGTGGATGCCACACCACCAATAAAACCGGGCAAAATGGAACAAATGCCTTCTTGTTAGTGGAACAACATTACAAAAACAAATCAATTTGGAGTTAAAGCACATCGATTTGATTGAGCATCCGCCTTACTATTTAACTTAAGCATACATTGAAACAAGGGTAAAGTACACTTTCCAACCCTCAACTCGTGCCGAAGTTCGATTTTCAACCTTCAACTATGAAACCGGTTAAGAAACACCCTCCAACTATCAAAACCGGACAAATTTAGTCATCGATTGGTTTCAAAAGTGGTTTTCTATTTTCGGGAGGCGCTGAAATTTTATATTATTTTTTTAGCATCTTAACGTCCTCAAATGAAAAAACTCAAACTATAAAGTTGTAGATCTCATTGAGAGCTACAACTTTGATATAAAAAATATTTTCATTTAACTCCATACAAATAATATACTAGTGCTCTAATGCGGCAGCGATTATTATGGTGCTGAAATTTTATATTATTTTTTTGAGCATCTTAACGTCCTCAAATGAAAAAACTCAAAATTACAAAGTTGTAGATCTCATCGAGGTCTAGAAATTTATAGTTTTGAGTTTTTTCATTTGAGGACAGTAAGATACTCGAAAAAATAATATAAAATTTCAGTACCATAATAATCGTCTACTAGCGCTTGCTGTATTAGAGCACTAATATATTATTTGTATGGAGTTAAATGAAAATACTTTTTATATCAAAGTTGTAGCTCTCAATGAGATCTACAACTTTCTAGTTTTGAGTTTTTTTCATTTGAGGACGTTAAAATGCTCGAAAAAATAATATAAAATTTCAGCACCATAATAATCGCTGCCGCATTAGAGCACTAATATATTATTTGTATGTAGTTAAATGAAAATATTTTTATACCAAAGTTGTAGCTCTCAATGAGATCTATAACTTTGTAGTTTTGAGTTTTTTCATTCGAGGACGTTAAGATGCTCAAAAAATAATATAAAATTTCAGCGCCTCCCGAAAATAGAAAACCACTTTTAAAACAAGCCGATGACCAAATTTGTCCGGTTTTGACAGTTGGAGGGTGTTTCTTAACCGGTTTCATAGTTGAAGGTTGAAAATCGAATTTCGGCACGAGTTGAGGGTTTAAAAGTGTACTTTACCCTTGAAACAATCAGTGAAAAATATCTAAAACATATTACTCTAAATGATATTGTCCATTCATGCATGTATTAGAATAGGGAGCCACTTTGGCATAAAGTTGGTGGAATGTCTGGTGCAAACAAGCAGTTGCTGAAAAACTGAAAAAGGTGTAAGCTCGGCTAATTCCGGCCGTTCTTTTCCGTTGCTTCGTTTCTCTTCAGGAACGGCACTAGCCTCTGTCTCCCTGCGCTCGCCGCCGGGCTGAATTTTTCCTGTAATGTGTTACAGCCACACGCCACTAGAGGGCTAGCTAGAGGCGTGCTGCCCCCCTGCAGTGCAGCGCCCACGCACGGAACTTGTTAGCGATGTTGCTAGCTGCCACAGTGCCACTTGAGACATAAATTTTGCATTCGTCAAACATTTTTCCATGCATGAGCGCACTTGGGCACCCAATTCAGAGTTTCCACAACGCTGCACTTGAGCAGCAACAAACGTTTTGGTTTCGTCTGTACGTGTTGTTGATCGGTGCTCGATCGACGCAGCAGGTGGCACATCGAGACGCCGAGCATCATCGAGGGCTCCGTGCTCGTCATGTCCAAGACCGGCGTTGGCCTCGCCATGTTTAGCATGGGTACGGAACTAATAGCGACCGCGTCATATATAAGAACACAGTACAACAACACAGAGTCCACATATTGAATTGATGGTCCGATCCTGTGGTGGCAGGGTTGTTCATGGCGCTGCAAGAGAAGATCATCGTCTGCGGCGCCGGGCCGACGGTGCTCGGCATGGCGCTGCGGTTCGTGGCCGGGCCGGCTGCTACTGCCGCCGGGGCCGTGGCTCTCGGCCTCCGCGGCGACGTCCTGCGCCTCGCCGTCATGCAGGCCGCGCTTCCCCAGTCCATCACCACGTTCGTGTTCGCCAGGAGTACGGCCTGCACGCGGACGTGCTGAGCACAGCGTGAGTAGTTTCTTTCTTTCTTTATTTATTATTACGCATGGCTCGGTGACTTGGCTGAAAATAAAGCAGTACTCCGTTTGTTTTTTTTGCCTCATCAGCAACTGAGACAGCACTCCCGTGCTGAAAATCTTGCAGGGTCATCTTCGGGACGCTGGCGTCATTGCCCGTGCTCATCGTCTACTACATTGTTCTAGGATTGATACGGTGTTAATTAAGTGTGCGTGCGTGTTATGGACGTCGTACGTTATACTCTGTAATTCAAAAAAAAGTCCTGAAGCAAGTAGCGTTACCTTTCTTTTTTCAGTGATGTACTGATGTACCCCTTGTCGTCAGCAAGCAATTAGATTAGCTGCTAATCATCAAGCTTGTGTGTTTGCTCTTCTGTAACAAATAATTAATGACCACTGTGCCTGATTCCATGAGAGCAGCACTAGTGATTTCTGAGCACTGCAGAAAAGATTTCTATATATTTCTGAATAGTTAAGAAGTACTGACCAGTCAGGTGAGAGTGGAAGCAGAACCACATGCCTCGTTTCTCTACCTGAATCCTGATAGAGTGATAGACAGGTAGCATCTGAAGACTGGCATCTGACCAAAAGGCTCACCCTAGAGGATCGAAACTAGGTGCGAAAATTCTGCCGACGAATGAGCAGTTCTCAGCACTACAGAAGTACAGAGGCAGGCTCCATCATCGATGGATCAGGCCGGGCCCGAACAGGAACAGCCGATGTTTAGCAGCACGCATCTACACTATAGCTAACGATCGAGTGACCACGACAGCACCCAGTCCCCATTTCCTCCATGAAGAAACCAGAAAGAAACAAAACACGCAGGGGCATATCCCTTCAGCCCAAGTGTACGTTCATGGGAGGATGAAGGATCGGAGCTCCAACAATGGGTGGCCATGGCACGGTATTCCGAGCAAAGCATCCACCCACCATCATGTTCGCGGTGGGGAGCGGGGAGTGGACGTAACGCGCCATTATGGTGGGTGTGGGTGTCATCAACAGTCCCACGGCAAGGAAATTGATCTGACAGCTCAAGGGCATGTTGAACCGTGCTTGTCCGGCAACCAATCTCTGTCGTAGCCGCTCTCATCCAGTTCCTGAATATATTCCCGGTTCAAGATGGAGTGGATGCCAAATTCTATGTCCATGGAAACGGAACCGGAGGACATGAATCTGATCGGCTAGATGTAATGTAATATGATCTTCTTCGGATTTTATGTCCGCGCACATGCATATAGCTATGGGTTGTTAACGTTATACTCCAGTTGCAGTCATCGTCGTCGTATTCTTGACAAAATGACAAGCAATCAAGTCCGGCACGTTCAGAATAAAGAGGGTGTCGAGTAATGGAGTATACGTAAATGCTCATCGCAAATCTGGCAGCTTCCATTCTAGCCCTATTATGTGATAGAATCAGCCAAACAGGTAGCATCCTGAAGATGCTTACCACACAGAAAGTGAGAACACAGAGCAACCGTAATGGAATCCTAATATGGACAGGTGGCAGTGGCACAGCACCTGAAAATGCACATTTCCAGCACTAGACACGTTCATCGCTCATCCTAGAGTCTAGAGTAGAGACAGGGCCTGACATCGTGGCCTGCTCTTTTTTCTTTTGAAACCGTTAATGCTTAATTATGTCACCACACCTATAAGGATTTAGATCGCTCGATGTAGGATCTAGTGAATTTTGAGGTCGGCCGACGCTTAAGGTATGTTCTCACACGAACCTGGTGCATCTAGCAATGAACGCGATATACAAGACGTACATGACGACTCTTGAAACCTGAAACCCCACACATCCTGGAGGGACCTCGTTGGGGCGTGCGGCGGCTATGGGCTGCCCTAAGCGGCCTGACCGCTCTAGGGCTTCGTCGTCGTCGATCCACCAGCCATGCAGCAGCGACGAAGAGCGAGGAGAAGAAGTAGATGGAAAAAGAGGATAAAAGAGTAGTAGATGGAAAAGGGGGTGGTCTTATCACATAAATGTTCAAAAACCCTTGCAAAACGCCTCAAAACACAATTGAGATCCGATTTGGGCCTATCCAAACCGACTTGGCCAGTTGCAGAACCGGTCTGACATAAAACATTCCAAAAATCATAGTCAATTCCTTCGAGCTCCAAATGATGTGATCCACGTATGTTTTTCGACCAGCTCGACGAGAGGAATACAACGGTGCAACCCATTCTTCCATTTGAGTAAGTTGGAAAATGTGGCCTGGCCGCTTTTGGGATCCGGTCATGCCGGTTTCCGTTGGCTCAGCCCCGAAATACAGTTTCTTTGTCCAGGCTCCAAATGAGATGATCCACGTATGCTTTCTGACCGTGTCGACGATAAAAACATGATAGTGGAGTCCGTTGTGCACTTTGAAAAATTTTGGCCGTCAACATAAACTTAGCAAGAGAATTGCTGAGGAACTTTATTAGTAAGAGAAAATCAAACCAGAAAAAGAGCCAAACAAATACAAGAAAAACACAAAACCGGGAAGGAAAAAAAAAAGAGGAAGAAGGGAAAGAGAACAAACACAGTAACTATGGCTGCTGCAAAAGATTCGCAGCCGGCTGCCAAAGCTCGCAGCTCAAGGCAGACCTAAAGAAAGTAACAACTGTCTTGAATCAACTCGAGCTGCCACTAGTCCCTCTCATTGGATGCCTTCCAGGAGTGAGCTAACTTGAAGAGTTAGGGCCCGTTTAGTTGCCAAAAATTTTTGCACAGTAACTGTCACATCGAATCTTGCGGCACATGCATGCAGTACTAAATGTAGACGAAAAAAAAACTAATTACACAGTTGATCGAGAAATTGCGAGACGAAACTTTTGAACCTAATTAGTCCATAATTAGACACTAATTACCAAATACAAACGAAATGCTACAGTGAGCCAAAATCCAAAAATTTTTGGATCTAAACGCACCCTTAATATCTTCCTTGACGAAGAATATGCGAGATGTGCTGAAAGATTCTCTGGTTCCCTTCTTTCTAAACATTTCACCAAAAATAAATCATTACATCACACACCGTCAAAATCCCTTTGTGTTTCCTTATGTGCCCTACCTCTCCTTTTCCTCCAGCATTTATAGATCAACCGCTCGCGCCGCACGCGCTCCACCCCACTCTGCCTCGTTGCTCCTTCCACCAGATCCACTGCCCACGAGAGATCCAGTGGTGGTGGGACTGTGTCGCCAGCTGCAGGGGCTGCAGGAGTGTGTGCCTTGCATGGAGCCAAGGATACCGGTGGTCACGAAGGGGTCCCTACCATCCTCATGGTAGGCGGAGTCAATCTAGTTGATGGTGGCACTGGGCGATGGTGGCGACGGCGTCGGCTGCCTCTGGTGAATTCCACACGCCAGTGAGCCTTCATTTCGTGAGCAGCAAGTAGATGTGTTGCGCTTGAAAGCGCATGTTGAAAGCGTCTATTTCAAGTGTTGCAGATGTTTCAGAGGTATGTTGCAAGTGTTTCATATTGATGTTGCAAAAGTAGATCGGGATGTTGCATATGTTGCAAACGTCTGTTCCCAATGTTTCATCTATTTTTATAGACGTATGTTGTAAGAGTGTTTATTTGGATGTTACGTATGTTTCACACATATGTTGCAAGTGTTTTATCTAGATGTTGCATATATTTGCAATGGTTTTAAGTGTTTTTTCAAGTGTTTTTGCATGTGTTTCAGGCCCATGTTTTAAGTGTTTCATCTGTCTTCATACGTATCTTGCAAGTGTTGCATCTGGATGTTTTAAAAGTAGACCAGGTGTTGCATCTTCCTCCTCGCCTTCTGCTGCCTCACCTCGGTGTCTCCTCGCCTTCTGCTACCTTGCATCCTTCTCAGACTGCGGAGGGGGCGCGCCAGGGGATGGCAGCGTAGATGCGAGCGCTCTCTCTCTCTCCTCTGTTTCGCGGGCAGCGTAGGGATACCGCTTCGTTGTTCTGTTACTGCGAGCATCCTGAGATCGGACTCCCATTGGTGGGCCATGACGCTAGCCCACGTTTGGTGGAATCGTTTAAAAGTTGGTTGGTGGGAGGTGTGTCCATACATGTCTTGAGCGCTGAACGTCTAGGTGCTAGCATATCTGTTTATAGATAGATCCAGGTAGGTCCATGTTCAGTGGCGAAGGACAAAAAAAAGTAAGATACGACAAAATCAATAATATAAATATCAAAAATTTGTCATTAAATTATTTCATATACATATAAGTTGTTGTGATCGTCTCCTATATAAGTAAAAACATTTATAGGATAAATAGAAAGATGTAATATAAGTGAAGTCAAAGGACTAACCGAACGGCAATGAAGCTTCAGTTGCCTCTAGGCGACCTAGGTAATTGCATTGTTCTATCTTTCTCTTTTTCTGAAATGATTTCTTAATCTTCTCAAGATCATTTTCTTTGAATACCTCTCGCGCAATGTTGCACATCATTAAGTCACTAAGCCAAGCATAAGATATATTGATATATCTGGATGTAGCACACCATTAAGTTATTAAGCCAAGCATCAGACATCTTATGTTTGATAATCTTCATTTTCCATATCCTCTTTAATCGTGGCAACAACTTGCTCATACTTTTTTTTGACCGAAACGCCAGGGGAGTCCCCTACCTTTTTTTGCTTTTTATTAAATGAAAGAATAATTTATACAGGAGAACAAAACAAAAAGAGGAAAGTACAAGGCAACTAGGCCCAAAAAGAAAACAACAAGGAAATTACAAATAGTTCTCTCTCCGGTGACTAAGTGGTAATTGCTTACTGGGTTTGGCCTTGGTACAAACCAAGCCAAGCTCTGCCCTGAATTGCCTCTTCCACAGGTTGATGTTGATTTGCCCATTGTCAAAAATCACTTCATTCCTTGTGGTCTAGATTACCCAGCAAGCAGTGATAGTTATTTCTCTGAAAAGTGCATCGCCAAAGTCTGCTCTTGCTTGCAAGATCACACCAGGGACTAAGGTTCAAGTTCCAGTTAATGGGTATGGTAGACCAGCAATCTCGACTGA